ACATATTCTCATCTCCAATTTGAATGTGGGAAGGACATCTGAAGCACATAAATGGATGGGCAGCGGTGTAACCATTGCTCCAGGATCCCCTGCACTGGTGAATCTTTGCACTCACACACTGCTCTCTAATTTAGATGAGGTCTGTACAGTACTATGACCAACAACGATCTGTCAGCCTTACAGGTTTATAATTACACTGGTAATGATTGCCTCTGATTTGTTCTCACCAATACAAAAAGTCGTTAGCTCCTGGCTTTGAACTAGAATTTAGTAAATTATTTATGCATTCTCTTATTTTCTTTTAGATTTGATGAATAGCAACCACTGTAATCGTTGGGTTTCTGAATATGTATGTCTATGTGTTAGGATTTGGTAGTGAATTGTGAATTGAGATGTCTGAGCATCATGACGGTCCAGTGACAGGGTGTAATAGCAGGGGTCTAAGGTCAAAGGTGCGCATCTGCAGCTTCGCCCAGACAGTGCCGACCGCAGTCAAAGTGGGCAGCCAGCCGCACTCTAATGTGCATTAGCAAGACAAAGGATGGGAAGAGGGAGGGCATAAGATGGGCTTTGATTTCTCTGAGATTTATAGGCGTGATGAAATCAGCTTTGAATAAGCTGGGCTTGCCCATTCGCTCAATCGTTTAGCTACATCTGAAGGCACTTGGGTTTGTTAGAGGAGGCAAACACCCCGAATAAAAAAGGCAGCAAATCTAAAGAGAAAAAAAAGAAAAGGGCGAGCGGCAGTTTCTTCTGAAGTTTCCCATGTCCCATTCAGGAACTCATCAGCTCTCTCATTTCATTGTGTAACCTGCTTCTTCATCACTAGCCTCTACTAAAAAAAAAAAAAAAATGTGCAAACTTACACAAATGATTCCTGGGATACCAAGAAAACACTTTGCAGCCAAGAGATAAATGCCAGTGGCTTCTGTTTAACAATCTTACTCTAAGGAGAGTCAGGCATGTGGGTGAAATATGCTGGCCTTTATCAAGCAGTAAAACTGCTCTGATGTATGTGTATACAGCCATCATGGCACCCAAGGGATGGTGATAAGGGTGTCTTTCTCCCAGTTTCCTCTCCTCTATCCTGCATGTCCTGCTGTAAATACTAAGAGCCCCTCTGCGACCCAAGCGGTGATAAATAACCCTTAAGGTTAACTACATTTCAAATGGAGCAGTGAGGCCATTATCGGCCTCCAGAGTTTTCTTGACATCCTCAATATGTTATCTGTGGGCCGAGGGACTTTTACCAGACCTGCATTAGCTTGCCTCACTTTTTTGTTGGATCTGATGAAATCCAGGAAGAACCTTTTTAACCATCATGCATCTGCAAAAAAAAAGTGAATCCTTTGTATCAATGTAAAGCTAGCCTGTTCAAAATTATCCGAGTCAATTACTTTGCAGCTGGACCTCATGCTCAGCATGCATGTCGTAACAGTTTCTGTAAGTAAGAATCTGAAACATGTGTTGTATATAGTCCCATTTAAGACAAGACTTAGCTGTATACCTTTGTTTTCGTAATCTGCACCTGTTCTGTGTTTCTGTTGATTACACTGTTTCCTGTTTCCATGTAGCCCTTCACTTCCCAGGTGTATTTAGGTTGCTTTTTACATGTTTTTTATTTTACTGTTCCTACATAAGTGGTCCTAGTCTCTGGTCCAGAGCTCCTCCAGTTCTGAAAATTAACTTTTGATATCCTTCCTATCCTTAATTTCAAATTAACAGTTTAAGACATATAGGGACCTTGGGGTATGTGTCAACCAACTTTGTACTTCACACACCAAAAAAAAAAAATTGTATAGAGGACATCTCTGATAATTAAATTTAGAGCCATGCTACAATTTGTATCTGTGAAGATTTGCAGTCAATCCAGGTCATGGTCAAGCTTGAAAAAGTTCAGTCTAGGCAGCTGGACGTTAAGTTTTTTCACCTCTCATCCAAGAGGTTTCCTCAGGTCTAACTAGTGATGGGGAGCACTGAGATTAATATACTGCTAGTCTAACAAAGAATTGGGATGGACAAAATGTGGCTTTGATCCCTTCCACCGGATTGGCCAAGGCTACAGGTTGGCAATTAAATCTAGAAAATACACAGAATGTTCTTATATCTAAACCTTTGCATCTAGCTGTTTGTTGAAGATCATTTTCTGTTTAAAAAGTGGCTCTCATTTGGTTATTCTAAATAATTTTTATTAATGCATTTTGCTTCATTGTCCTGTCAAACCAGATTAACTGTTCCCAGTAAAAAGAAACACTAAAATAATGAAACCACCACCAGGTTTCATGGAAAAATTGTGTATTCGCATCGAAATGCTGTTCATGCTCCACACACAATATATCTTTGCTAGACATTGTGTCTTGCATGTAAGTTGAGGAGTTCAGTTTTCATTCTGTTTGACCAGAGGACCTTCTAACACATGTTTGCATCCTCCTGGGCTTGTAATAAGCATAAATACTGTTCCTTTTGTCTCCTTCGGCAGATGGAAGATTTCTTGACAGTAGCGCTGAGAGTTGTCCTATAAACAGATTTCCTCTCCTCTGCTGCAATTTCTGCATATTTTTTTCTTCTTTTAGGAAACTCAGACTTTGACATAGTCTTCTGTGTGCGACATGATA